GCTCATCCTGATAAATACTACACTGTCCAGCCAATCCCTGTTATTTAAAGATATTATATTTGAAAATTTTCCTATCTACTAAAATTTATTCATAAATTAATCATTATTTACTGAACTTTCCCACTTTTTTTTGACGACGGGTACATACATGAGCAGAACAGCAAAACTTCTGAAAAACCAGTTGCACACATTCCCATTATGAGGTGATGCTTTGCCTTACTTCACCTCTCATATTTTAAACAAGCATTCTTTTCAAAGTCTATTAGCCACTACATTTTCACATTTTGTGCTTTTTGTTGGTGATGTTGCAGTTTAAAATGGCCCCCGAAGTGTGGAGGTGCTGTCTAGTGTTCCTAAGGCAAGAAAACGACCTGACTTTGGAGCAAGTACATGGGTTAGATAAGCTCCACCAAAGCCTAAGTTATAGCGCCATTGGCAGTGAGCTCAATGTTAGGGAATCAATGATATGTATTAAATAAGAGAAACAGAAACATGCAAAACGAGACTATCTATCCATCAGTTGTGACCAGAAGCTCACAGGAAACTTTCCCTTCATCTTCTCTATGGACAATGTTTCAGTATTTGCTAAGATGGTGTTGCAGTGACTTCAGAGATCATAACTGCCCCAACTGTTGTTACAAGTACTAATTTGATGTGTAATGACAGGAAAAGCACCAAATTATAAAGCATTTTGAGAAACAAGAGATCAACTTCCCCAACTCAAAAACAATAGTTGAAGGTTCTTGACAGGATAACCACAGGACTGGTAATGGTGTTGTTTTGCAGCTTACAGACCAAAATAATTGGAATAACACAATGCAAAAAGTCAGAAAATGAGTATTACACCACCATGGACAAAGATCTGTGGCGGCTCCATGGGGTGCAGGCAAGATGATTCAAGCGGGTAAGGGAAGAAAATACAATCCCATTCATTTATACTCATTTAAACCTCATCTTTAAATTCTAATTTACTTTATAACTTAATAACAGTACACAATGAATTCTACTGGTTACAATAAATTCTATTGGCTATGCCTACCCCAACTCTACTGACACTTTGTGTGTGTGTGTGTGTGTGTGTGTGTGTAGTCACTGAGTCGTGTCTTAAGCTCTGCAACCTTTTAGACTGTAGCCCGCAGGCTCCTCTGTCCATGGGATTCTCCAGGCAAGAACACTGGAGTGGGTTGCCATGCCCTTCTCCAGGGCATCTTCCCAACCCAGGAGTTGAACCTGTATTTCTTGTGTCTCCTACACTGCAGGCAGATTCTTTACCCATTGAGCCATCCGGAAAGCCTGCTGATGGTTTATATAACCTAAAAATGTTGAGTGATCACCACCATAGAGGATCAAAGTCAGTGCTTGAAAAGAAACGAAACTCCAGAGGCACATGTTCTGCAGTGAGGGGCAGGACTGGTGTCTTTGAGGACTCAGATGCACTGGGAACCATCGAGGGAAAGCTGGTTCTACTGCTGTTCTGCCCCCAGCAAGTTGTGATGACCCTCACAAAGACATGCCTCTAGGCATCCACTGATTTACATGAGAAATTAATTAGCTGGTAATGACACTGACTAGATGATTGGAGCAAGGAACACTTCTCGCTCCAGAAATTTGACCATTCTGACTCAAAGGAAATAACATACATTAGCAGTTAAGTAAAACCATTGTTTATTATTGTCTGTAGCCTAAGGGTTAAAGGCATACCCTGACAGAGCAACAGGCTGTCAACAACACATTTCCAGACTGGGAAGATTCTATGGAATCCTGTAAGGTATCTAGGAGTTAGTTACATAGTTATAAGCTGCATCATAGGCACCTTCAACTCTAACTACTCAGCACAGGGAAAAAGAGAGAGAGAAAGGGAAAAAATATACATAACCAGCGCTGGTAACTTGTCTGCCATTCCACTCACAGAAGGTATTCTGTTCCCTGGGACAGTCTCAGTTCCCCAGTGTCTCTGACAGCATGAATGGTTCCGTTTGAGCCTAGTGTTTGACACAATATATTTTTCATCTACGTCACCTAATCCCAAACCAACTACTTCCTTCGGTGCTCAAGAGAAGCAGCAATATTTCAACTCTGAAGGAAAAATGGCTGCATGTGATCTACAGAAAGATGGACTCAGTCTCCAGAGAGGACTGGCTTCCTAAGGGTATTTCAAAGGCATTGTTTTTGGTAAACCTTTTCTTTCCTATTGGGGTATAACCATTTAACAATGCTGTGATAGTTTTAGGTGGACAGCAAAGGGACCCAGCCATATATATACATGTATCCATTCTCCCCCAAGCTCCCCTCCCACCCACTGAGCAGAGTTCCTCATGCTATACGGTAGGTCCTTGTTGGTTATCCATTTCAATTACAGCAGTGTGTACATGTCATCCCAAACTCCCTAACTATCTGTTCCTCCCCTCTCCCCCGTTCCTCCCCTCTCCCCCGCGGAAACTGTTTGTTCTCAAGTCTGTGAGTCTCTTTCTGTTTTTTAAGTTCATTTGTATCATTTCTCAGATTCCACATACAAGGAATGACATAGGATATTGCTCCTTCTCGGATTTACTTCACTCAGTGTGACACTCACAAGGGCAATTTTTGACAATACTCAATTTTCACAGTGTATACTGATGGCAGAACCAAACCCCCAAATAAAGTATAGTTATTCTGTTCCAAGGGTGTACTCCTAAACCCATCACCAAGAGGTGGTGTAAACTAAAATTTGCCACCATATACTTTTATGGTATTTCTTACTGATTAAAGTGCTCTCATGTCAGCTGAGACCAGGCAAGGAAGATGGAACAAGCACTGTGGTTCCCATTTCAGAGATGGAGCGCAATAATGGAGAGAGTAAGAGGTGCTGTGTCAAGACAATTTGGTTTCAAATCCCAGGCATACTGTTCAATTTTTCAGAGCCTCAGTTTCCTATCAGTAATATGCAAACAGTGCATACAACCTGAATTGTAGTCAAGTATACCAGTTGCATCTCAATGTTTCCTTTCATCATTCCAAGTTCACACACTAACATGACTAAAGCCCGAACTAGAACAGAGGTCCAAGAGGATATAATTTAGCATCTCTTCAAAGGGTATTCAAAAGATACAGACATTCTGCTGAAGGATTTTTTGGTTCAAATAAATTTGTGAAATGTTAGTCTCTTGAAGATTCACAAAGCATTATGTGTGTGCAAGTGTGTGTATGATAAAAAGGATCTGAGGTGTGCAAAAAAAATTAACCTGGTTGAATACGAACAGAACATTTTCTCAATGCATTTAGTAATCTTTTTCTGCATAGTTACAATAAACGTCCACAAAGACCTAACGTTCTTCTGAACATACTTTCAGAAACACTGGTTTTGATCATTTAATGCATAGCAAATAGACAACTGTAGTAATTAATATCAATACAAATAATAATAGGTTATAGGACAAAGCACAAGAAACTATCCTTTAAACAAGATCCTTGAATGATTTTTTTGCAGTCTGGTCTCAAATGCAAAAAAAAAAATCTATTTAGACCATTAAGGCATTTTTATTCTCAGAAAGATTTCAGAATAAGTCTGTCATAAACAAAGATTCAAAGAAGTGGCTCAGGTCATCTTGCAGAAGACAGTGGATTAAAAAAGGTGAAAGAGCTGTATTATTTTTTGTTACAAAATTGATTTGGATGAGATATCTTCTCCCTAAATAGATTTTCCAAGAATGGTACATATGCCATATTACTACTTGTCATTACTCCTGGTCTTCTGATAACAGTGGAAAGCAAGACTGTGACTTGTAAACTATGAACCATAAAAATGCAGAATCCTTTTTTTTTTTTGAAAGCTACAAGAAAGTAGTTATTTTGTCACAAACAACAAGAGAAAGAAAGTCCACTCAGTTATCAACATCTGGCCAATTCTGAGTATTTCTGCAGAGGCCTCACGTCTACTTAAAAACTTGGGGGGAAAAATGCCAAACTAGATTTCTTAAGAAACTTTGCTGATGTCAAGATATTGTGATCCTTCTAAAGAATCTGTAAGTGGCTGTTACAGTGGAGACCTAAAAGTGTACACCAATTTTATATTATAACCTAGATCAAGAAAAACATTCCTCACAGGTAACTTTAAAAAAGTAAATTAAAAAAATTAAAACTAAGACTTGCAGTTCGCTAGAAGATGGGTTTTCCCTACTTTGTAAACAGTATCTCAATTATTGCACGCAAGCACTTCTATGAGAACTTTCATCTTAAAACCTCTAAAAGTCAAATAAACAGAAGATTAGGCTTGAAGGATTCTTTTAAAAATTATATTAATATCTGATATTTAATCATCTTGACAAATACAATATATATAAAAAAGAACCTGCTCTAATGCAAAGTTTTAAGTTTGTGAATTAGATGCAGACAACTGTTGGTTAGCACTGCTATCCTAGATGACTTGGGGTAAGAACTGTCTTTTTTTAAAAAAGGAAAACGGACGGAATCTAGACCGTTGCTAACCTAGTCCACGAACATTCAGTGAGAGGTTCGGCCACGAACACCAGGAGTGGGAAAAGGCGAAGAATAACCATTACTGCCTAAGACACCAAGGCTACCTGAAAAGTCATCCTGACGCTTCAGTCTTTTCATTTTGCGGGACTGGAAGCTTCAGGGACCACTAGATCGCGGCCGCCGACTCCCCAGGTCCAAATTGGCACGAGGCAGTCGCTTACCTGCAGGGCGACGGGGCGCACACCTGCCCGGCGGGCGGCGCCCATCTCTCTTCGCCGTAGACCTGCCCTCCTCCGCCCTTCTTCACCACCACCTCCGTCCCTTCCCACCCACCTGCAAACAACCGAGGGTAGGGACGGGGGAAGGTGAAGATGAGAAGAAAAAGCACCCAGCAATCCGCCGCAGACTACCTCCTCCCACCCCAGAGTCGGTGCAAAGCCACACCGTCTCTCCCATGTCTCGGGTCTCCAGTGCAAGGTCTGCGATACCTTCAACATTTTTGGTTTAAAGCATAAGTAACTTCCCCGCTCCCTTCCGCCCCTCACCTTCACGAAAGCAATCGGGGTTGTGGTACCTTCGATATCTAACAGGATCACAGTGACTTCGGCGGGCACCGAAAGCACGACCATTTCCCCACCCCACCGACTGCTACCAAGAAAATCGGCCTACTGGTAGAGACGGCGGAGGGCGGCGCCGGCAGCGCCCCCAGCAAAGGGCTGGGCTTCTGGTGGCCCGGAAAAAGAGTCCCGGAACGGATAACCGCAGCGCGGCCTGACGCACGAGGCGGAGAGGACTGGTCCGAGCGTCCGGACGTAAAGAAATCCGCAGCCCAAGAACCCTGAACTCGCCAGCTGCCCGGGGCGGGAGGCCCAGACCACGTGGGCAGAAAGAGGGGGCGGTCCTCACGAGGTTCCGAGGGGGCGGGGCGAGGCACGGTGCCGACGTCGATTGGCCGCTAGAGGGCCTCGAACCCGATCCGTCAAAATGGGGCATCGCGTGGGCGGGAACAAAGAAGCGAACGCGGGAGACGGGTGCGCGGATGCGCGCTCTCCGCAGACTGGTTGAGCGAGCGGGAGAGGCTCGGGGCACGTGCAGACGGGAGCCCCGCGAGTGGCGCGCCGGGGATGTGAGTGCCCCTTGCCCTCTACGGCACCTAGCCCCCTCCCTCCCCGCCCACTGCTTCGGCTTTGGCAATTTTTACAGTAATCCGACCGGGTCCGCGCCCCTCCTCCCGTTCCTCAGCCAGGGAAAGAGGCCGTTCGGGTCCCGGTCAGCTAGACGGCGTGGCCGATCGGCTAGCGCGAGGCCCGCCGCGCCCCCCTCGGCCCGCGCGCCTGGGGCGGCAGCGGAAGAGGCGTCCGCGCCGCGCGGCCGCCCGGAGAGGCCGCCGCGCGCCCGCTTCCTGTTCGGCTGGTTCCAGCCAGCTCGAGGACAAAACACGCGTGCGCGCGGCGGGCGGACGGCCGGCGCGCTTGCCGCCTCAGCCGCCGGCGCCGGGCGCAGTCCGCCTTTTTCTGGAACGGCGCGGCCACGGTGCTAATCGATAGCAGCAGCTCTGCGCTGGGGGAACCGAGGGCGGAAAAAGGCGGGGTTGACGGCTCTTGGCTGGGAGTGGGCTGGACCGGACGCCAGAAACAAAAGGCTCTCAAGGCAAGAGGGACTGTGGCGTTGCTCGGGATTCTGACCCCAGGACTTCTCGCCCCGTCGTTGTTTCTCTTCTGACGCGTCTCTCTTTTCCCAAGCCCGCGTCCCCTCACCCGCGACCTCGCTTCTCAGCGGGAGGCCCGCAATGGAGGTCCCGCCCCGACTCTCCCATGTGCCGCCGCCATTGTTCCCCTCCGCTCCCGCTACTTTAGCCTCCCGCAGCCTCTCCCATTGGCGGCCGCGGGCGCCGCGGCAGCTTGCCCCGCTCCTCCCTTCGCTCGCTCCCAGCTCCGCCCGGCAGGTGGCGCGCCGGGCCCAGCGCCACGTCACCGCCCAGCAGCCCTCCCGATTGGCGGGCGGGGCGGCTATAAAGGGAGGGCGCAGGCGGCGCCCGGATCTCTTCCGCCGCCATTTTAAATCCAGCTCCATACAACGCTCCGCCGCTGCTGCTGCCGCGACTCGGTCTGCGCGCCAGCACCTTCCGGCCGACCACTCCGCCGCTATGGAAGACATGAACGAGTACAGCAACATAGAGGAATTCGCAGAGGGATCCAAGATCAACGCGAGCAAGAACCAGCAGGATGACGGGTACCGCACGCTTCTCGCCTCTCCCCTCCCCTCCCTTCCCCCAGCGCCCCGCACGCGCCCTTCGTCCCTCTGGAGCCGCGCGCCACCCTTTCCCACCTCACCCCCCCATTGTTGGCCCGAGTCGATTCTCCCGCGTGCCCGCTGGACCTCACTAGGGCGAAGGAAAGAGGAAAATAGGAGACGGAGGGGAGTGACTGGAGAGTCCCGCGGAAGGTGGGGGAAGGGCAGAGGGTTTGGAGGCGGAGGGCGGTGGCGTCTGGGGCCAGAGTGCGCAGGCGCTGCATGGGGCCTGGCGGGGAGGGCCCGGGCCGGCCGCGCCGCACGCTGCGGTGCTGCCGCCTTATCATTTTATCTGTTAGGGCTCTGGGCAGTTTTCCTGGGGAGGATGTAGGGGGACCCTTGGTTTGGGAACCTGTAGGCGTCTTGTGCCCAGATCCCCTGTATACGTGATGATGAGTTCTTCAGGTAGAACGTTGACTTGACAGCTGAGGAAGACGGTGAACCTGAGTAGTGGGCGTTCAGTTTAGAAAGTTGTATTTTCCTAGTTCGGAACGGTCTTTTAACGTGTTTCGTTGGCCTCGTTTAAACTTTGCCTTGTGCAGTGTGGAGAGCAAAGATTTGGATAAGTGACCTCGATGAAATTGGGGGCTTTTTGTGGTCTTTGGTTCCTGTGTGTTTGTAAACAGGTGGAATTACTTGTACATGGGTATGAATTTCCCTGTGCTTATGGTTTGTAGCAAACGTCACCTTAGAATTTAACCGTTTTCGCTACTGCTGTTTGTAAGTAAACAACTTTTATTTCTAGTAAAATGTTTATTGGAGGCTTGAGCTGGGATACAAGCAAGAAAGATCTGACTGAATATTTGTCTCGATTTGGGGAAGTTGTGGACTGCACGATTAAAACAGATCCTGTTACTGGAAGATCACGAGGATTTGGATTTGTGCTTTTCAAGGATGCTGCTAGTGTTGATAAGGTATGAACCTGTTCGCATGGTGCTTTTTGTGTGCGTTTTGCAAATCGTTCGGCGGGTTGGTTGTAAGTTGTCAGATCACATAAATCTGTCTTCTAGGTTTTGGAACTGAAAGAACACAAACTGGATGGCAAATTGATAGACCCTAAACGGGCCAAAGCTTTAAAGGGGAAGGAACCCCCAAAAAAGGTTTTCGTGGGTGGATTGAGCCCAGATACTTCGGAGGAACAAATTAAAGAATATTTTGGAGCCTTTGGAGAGGTGGGCTGTGCTTTCGTTCGTGTATTTTCATTCGATACGTTTATATAACGTTTTGTCCCTGGCCCAGTTCTTACAGAGTAAAGAGTTCGGTCAGGGTGGAATTAAATTATTGCTCAAGTCCCTCCCTTATCACTTATTTTTTTTGTGTTACAATGGAAACTAGTATTAATGTAATTTTTAAATTATTTATGGAAATTAATAGTTTGTTTATTTCAGCAAAAAGGTGGATGCTTTGGTGTCGTCCGGACTGGAGTGGCATGTGGGGTACAAAATGCTGTTGAGGTTTTCCTCTCCCTTCTAAATAAATGCTTTGTAGATAAGCCAGGTTACTCTAGTTTGATGATGATAATGAAACAGTTTATGCAGAAGTCAATTCATGAGAATAACATACTTTGTTGAAGCTTGTGAATGATTTCTGTCATTCTAAAACATTTTGGTAGCTTTTTACCTTTACTGGGTGATCTTGAGTGTGCATCTTAATTTCAGATTGAAAATATTGAACTTCCTATGGATACAAAAACAAATGAAAGAAGAGGATTTTGCTTTATTACATATACAGACGAGGAGCCAGTAAAGAAATTGTTAGAAAGCAGATACCATCAAATTGGTTCTGGGAAGGTAAAGCCATTTGGATTCTATTTAGTGAACAGTGGGCTGGGTTGGTTTGTTTTTTAAGGGAAATTTCTCAACCTGTTTTGAGAAGGAAAAAAATGGCTTGACATTAGAACAGTGGTAACAATTTTGTTTCTTTTTACCTTTTGTTTATAGTGTGAAATCAAAGTTGCACAACCCAAAGAGGTATATAGACAGCAACAGCAACAACAAAAGGGAGGAAGAGGTGCTGCAGCTGGTGGGCGAGGAGGTACTAGGGGTCGTGGCCGAGGTGAGACTTAATTCCAGGGAAGTGACGCAATGGTTTAAGCTATCAACCGCTAAATATGAATAAGCCCATAGGAGAGTAAAGCCAAATTTAAACTGTTGCAAAGTGCTCATTTTAGTCCATGGGTTTGTTTTATTGGTTTCACTTCTTCAAAGAACAGTCACTCTGACAGTGTCAGTACTGATGGGCAAATAATACCATTGAATGTAATTAAGATTACATGATACACCTTGGCATGATAGGTTTTTTATGGCAGGAGTCCTTGTTCTAAACACACTTGCTGTCTTGATTCCCCCCCCCCCCCCCTTTAGATTTAGGAAGCCTGATACTGGCACAATTGGACTTTCTACACCCACCCCACCCCACCCCCACCCCCCCCTTTTTTTATGACAACTGTAGTGATACTTTCTTAACCAGATAGCACTGTAGGTGTTCATTCTTTTTTAAGATTTGCAAAGTGAGGGACAGGAATGCATCATTTTATGTTAGGATTGGGGATCAGAAGTTGTTTCCTAACAATCATTGTGCATTGTTTCAGGTCAGGGCCAAAACTGGAACCAAGGATTTAATAACTATTATGATCAAGGATATGGAAATTACAATAGTGCCTATGGTGGTGATCAAAACTATAGTGGCTATGGCGGCTATGATTATACTGGGTATAACTATGGGAACTATGGATATGGACAGGGATATGCAGACTACAGTGGTAAGAATATTTACTTAACTTCATAAACCAATGGTACTAAGATTCATCTGAGTTCTGAGATTGTGTGTGTTCTATTTATAGAAGTGTTTAGAGTTAAATTTTTGAGATGTAATAGTCTTGGGGTTATACTGATTTAGTGACTGGTTATTATGAGCATTCTAGAATGTGGTATGTGCCTAATTTATAACAACTTAAAATATCTAATTCTATTTGGCATGCAGAGTTTTGCATATCTAATAGCTTTTAAATATATAGAAAAAACATATCATTAAAGGCTAAGTATAATTTTTTGTCTTTTCAATATAGGCCAACAGAGCACTTATGGCAAGGCATCTCGAGGGGGTGGCAATCACCAAAATAATTACCAGCCATATTAAAAGGGACGCTGGAGAAAACAGGTGTGTATAAGAGTTCAAGAAACCAGTGGAAATGTCTAATTTAATTTAAAGATCAATAGACAAATGAAAATGAGTAAAAACAAAATACCACGTAGCGTGTTTTTACTAAATTGTTAAATTTTCACTTGCTTTATGAGCCTGTTTTGCCTAAAGTGTCTATAGATCTTTAACTTTAAGGTTTATCTCACTCTCTTTAGTAACACAGAAAAACTTAAGAGTTTTTCTGTTTGCTCTGTGTGCCAGGTGGTCTAGAGGAGTAATTAAACTTTTTTAGAACTATTAACAGGTAAAGTACTGAAATGGGTACAACTTAAGGAAAACAAGAATGTTGTCTTCTAACTCTGACATTATACCTTGTTTGTACCCGCCAGCGGGAACTTCATTGCAGGCCGTGTGTCACCCTGACCACGTCTATCTCTGGGGGTCGCACGTTGCGGGCAGAGCGCAAGGCATACACCAGAAAACGCTGTCCTGTGGTATGGTCTCTTCCAACTTCATGTACCAGCGTAAAGATTAAAGTGGAAAACTTCAGACTTTGGCTTCTTTTTTAATCTTTTTGAAGATTAAGTGTCTAAACTTAACTTAAATGGTTTTTTACAGGAGTTAAAGTACATAAATGCCTTTTTACAGCTTAATCATTTTGGTCTTCTGTTTAGTGTTGTATTTCAATTGTGGAGCCTCATTTTAAGTGTTCATTCTTTAAGATTTAATGCTTGCTTTTTCTTTTTATAGCTAATAGTGAAATCTACAAACCAAAACAAGAACTTTAAAATCTGGGATTTAAATTAAAGATCATATGCACATAGCAATTTGTTGCCTTGCAATACAAGCGTGTTAGAAATTCATGTTGGTAATAGAGTTTTACATGGCTTACTAGAGACACTTCTAGTAAACCTTGCATCTAGCACAGTTCAACCTGTGAATATGAAAAGATTGTGTTCCCTGATTTTCTAAGTAAATTTTAACATCATTTGGGAACTTCTTGGTGAGATGATGATGATTACAATTACCCAAACTGCGTTTTGCCATTGAATTTGCATGTGATCTTTAATTATTGAAGAAAAGAATAAAGTGAGAACTTAATTCATGAAAGTGGACCTTAGAAAGCTTGCCGGAGTTGCACAAGTCTAATTGCCATTTTGTTTTTGTTTTTAGGAAGAGATTGCTAACGTAACCATCTTGCAGGAGGACATTGAAGATTGGTCTTCTGTTGATCTAAGATGATTATTTTGTAAAAGACTTTCTAGTGTACAAGACACAATTTGTGTCCAACTGTATATAGCCGCCAATTAGTTTTCTTTGTTTTTACTTTGTCTTTTGCTATCTGTGTTATGACTCTGTGGATCTGTGTTTATACAAACTTTATTTGTATGATTACATGTTAAACCTCAAATAAATGCTTCCTTATGTGATTGTTTTTCTGCGTCAGGTACTAAATAGCTCTGTAAAAGTGTAATTTTAAATAAGCAATAATTAACGCACAGTTTATTTTGTAGGGAGTCTTGCTCCATAGGAAGAGGAGAAAACTGTGGTCCTTTATGAATAGCCAGCTACAGTGTCTGCTCTGTTCCCCTTTTTTGTTAGATGTATTCTATGCTCTTAAGACTTCATTTTTGTCTCTAACTGAGGCTCCCATCATAACCTTTAATGTTGTTTTCCTCTGCCTATCTGGAGACATTGTCATGACAGTTTCTGTGGCATAGTTACACTGTTGTGATTAGTGGGAGCTTTCTAGTAGACCATGAGTCTTTGGGTATATTTTGAAAAATAAATGTTTAATGGCACAAAGCATGCTGGTAGCTCCTTTTATGAAGAAAATGTTTTGCTTTGTTCTTGTCTCCGGAAAAGCATTTTTTAATGGTTTGCTGTATTCAGTGGTCTGCTAGAAAGAGCTTTGACTAATCATAGTACAGTAACTTTGTTTTCTTGATTAAAATGTCCAGATATACCCATTGCGGGGTGGTGGGGGGGCTTAAACTGTGTTATAGGAGCTACAGGTTAAGAATATCAGATATAGTTAGATTTTACACAATTTTGGCAAATAGGTATGAAGTTTGAACAAAGGTTAGATTACAAGTTTGAAGTAGTAAACTGAGTAAATTAATTGTATACTATTCTGTTGGTTTTATGTCACAGCAAGCACCAAACTGAACAAAATGTTTTCTCTTGGGGCATTGTTAGGAAGCTGTACTGGGTGTTAACTATTACATGATGTGAGTTCTTAGAAGGCATGGGTAGTAGGTTTCAGTCATTTTTTTATGCGGTTAGTGCATGAGCTGAGTAGTTGAGCATATTCACATCCAGACAAAGAATAATGGAGAAGGATGACCCTTGATTCTTATGTAAATGCAAGTCTTCGGTGTGACCAAGTCATGTCATTAACAACAGATCTTCCTGGTGCGTTAAAAAGAAAACCTTTCAGCTCTAGATTTGGGAGGATATCCTAGATAAGTTCAAGTTTTGAATTTCACATTCAGTGTAGTTAACTGAGTTTAATGTTTTCGGTTTTGTTGCTTTGGTTTCATGTTCGCCATTAGGATTGGCATACATGTTTACTTGTGGAATAGTTCACCTCACCTTCAACCAAGTGTAAATTTTTTTATGCTAATGAACCTGCCTCTTGTTTTCTTTGGTGCCTGCAACTTTTCTTTATTCCAGTGATGTTTGTACTTGATGGGCTATCAAGTTATAATGCTTTTGGCCTTGTTTTGCTCCTGTTTTGCTATTTGACCTTAATTTAAACCTAAGCCAAGTATCACTGTTGGCTGTGCAAGGGATTGTTTATTCTTTCAACGTGCAACCTTAGGGGACAGAAAGGAGATTTTCATTTTAAGTTATGTTGTCAAAAGTCAGGTGCAGTGTCTTTAGGGCAGTAAATCTTGTAAGTTCAAATTTATGATTAGGTGACAAGTTGACATTGAGATTGTCCTTTCCCTGATCAAAAATGAATAAAGGCTTTTTTTAAACAAAATCCATACTCTTCAGTCAAGTCTTGATATATATGATTTTGAAGAAATACACTACATCTAGAGATTGTCTGAGGTCTTTTAGGAAAATGAAGTACCTATGACAGACATACTCAGTTAGCCTGTATTTTTCTTAAATATACTTCCTGAGTAATTTTGACCAAGTTGTGTGTGTTGCTCCCTACCCTGAAAGACATTAATTATTTAACAGTTTTATTGATCAGCATGTTAATACTCTGTAGTCTCAGATACATTTATATGGTTAAGAATTAAGAGTTAAGATGTTTATTGAGAAACTAACATGGATAAACAGCATTTATTCCATTCTCTTCCATGCATCTTTTTCATAATGGTGAAGGGAACTGGATCCTTTGTCAGGATTTGATAGGATGTCAACCATAAGATGCTGTTTCACTAATTACATAATTGCATTTTTAATGCAGTTTTTAGTTACAGGAGGTAGAACTAATGGTGTGTTTCTACCATTTGAATTTCTTCTACCAGTAATGCAAAATCAAGAAATGTCATTCTCTAAAAATAATTACCTCAGAATTTTCAACTTAACAGGGCTTTCCTGGTAACTCAGCTGGTAAAGAATCCACCTGCAGTGCCGGAGACCTGGGTTCAGTCCCTGGGTTGGGAAGATCCCCTGGAGAAGGGAAAGGCTACCCACTCCAGTATTCTTGCCTGGAGAATTCCATGGACTGTATGTAGTCCATGGGGTCGCAAAGAGTCAGACACAACTGAGTGCCTTTTGCTTCACTTTCAACTTAACAGAATTGCCATCTACTGTGGTCTCTAGTTTTGTGGCTACCCTGTTCTGCTCATGGCATTTTAATTTACGTTTAATAATGTATTTTTGTCTTGAAATAGTAAAATTAGGTGTGAGGTTTCAGCTGTTTTGGTTGAAGCGAAAAAAATCACTTTTGCTCAACCATTGCATGTTATAAAATGTAGGGAAGAGTTTGCTGGCGTTCTGTGGATTTCAGGGAAATGCTGAACATTCTAAAGTTTGTATTACTTTAAATGGCAGTTAAATTTCTGACTTTTGTCAGGAGGAGTCACCCTATTTGGGGAGGTAGATCATAATTTCAGAGGGTTGACAGGGCTTAGGTGTGATTGAGAAGGACTATTCAATGATCTCTGATTTCTTAAAAATTTCAAGTAACAGTGCTTAAGGTTTTGGTTTATCAAAAACCAGCACATTGTAGAAATACATGAGAAACACTGTATTGCAGACAAGTTCTCACACTGTTTCAGTGCTTACCTCCTTTTGAGACTGACCAAAAATGATTTCTCTTCAGACAACAGAAGAAATGAATGTCTATACATAAACACTTTAAAAAAGACACACTTGTAATTGACTTGTGGGATCTTAGTTCCCTGACCAGGATTGAACCCAGATCCCAAACAGCTGAACCGAAACCACTGGACCGGCGGGTAATTGCCAGTATTTGCTGTTGATTAGGTTGCCCAAAGGCAGTTTCTTTAGAAGTATTTACTCATAAATTGTGTTGGCTGGTGAACACATACATGGGGTGGTGGATGAGACAGGAATGCCCAGCCCTGCAGAATAACCTCTGGAAAACAATCGCCTGATTTTTCTCAAGTTGAAGGAATTAGCTACTAGAAAATT